GCAACACACAGAAGCTCTAGACAAGGCCGGGACATACTTCTGGGTGAACTCGTTCTCCTAGGTGAACACGGTGGAGAATTTAATCAAATTTACCAACTCCTCCTTAGATGTAGGAGCAGTAAGAAAAACATTACCCAGAGCTCTCCTAAATGAACTATCCCAAGGTTAGCTGGGGTGCTCTCCTCTCAGGGGACAACTTTTAAAAAGTTACCTACAAAACTACAGGCACTATATGACTGAAACTTAAACATGAAAGTTTTGTAACTATCTCTCACAGTGATAAAAAAAATTTTAAAAAAAAAACACAGGCACAGGAGCGGAACTCAAGCTGAGATCCACTGAACTCATGTCCTTTCTGTTTAGAGTGATGTTGAGAAAATATATGTAACCTAATGTGACTCTTTCTTCACCTGTAAAATGTGAAGCGAAAAGAAAAGCAACAAGAATAGGGTTTTATATATAGCACTTAGCACATCACCTGAAATGAAGCTAATGTTGTGCAAACACTACTACTATCACTGACAATCACTGATAATTTGCACAGCTCTGGAGACAGGAAATTTTGTTACTGAGTACTTGGATTATTGTAAATTTATTGAGTGAACCTGCCTTCCTACGATGTCAACACACAAACATTCTTGTTATTGCAAATTGAAATAAGACAATATAGTAAAATACAGTTGGATTAGCTCTTCCATCAAAAACAAAAAACAAAAAAACCACAGCTCGTCTTGTGTGCCCTGGTTCTCGGTGAGGTCAGGCCAAACAGTGCCCCAGTTGGAGGTTCTATTGGTTCACTTGGAGAAATCCTGACATCATAAAACTTCCGTGGCTTGACCTCTTTGTTTCATTTTTTAATACCAGCTCTCATTTCCTGACATCTGCTCTATCTGGGTACTTTTGACGCAGGACTTCGAACCCAGTTAAAACACTGTCTGGGCCTCTTATATAGCTAAAGAAGTTAGAACTAGGGAGAGAAAGTAAGGAATGTCCCAGTCTATGCAGCTGTTATTTGCAGAGCTGAGCTGAGCTCCCTCTACTCCACTCCCTGCATTGTGTCTCTGCCCTGGCTGGTCCTTCAGGGATTGTGGGTTGGCACAAGATGACCCGGGCAAAGTAGAAACTCCAGCTTTCTAGTGCTTATTACAGGTGGCATCATAGACAATTCTCAAAGTGCTTTCTGGAGTTCTTTTCAGGTCAGAGACACCTAATTCCTGAGATGGAATCTTCTAGCAGTGCTTGAGAACTCTCCACAGTGCCAACTCCCAAGAACTCATAGGATCTCTCATAGGACCTATCACAAGGGCACATTTAATCATGGGAGAAGGATCTTTAGAACAGCTTCCCCTACTTGGAGCAAAAAGTTTTTCGTCATAATGCCCACTCACTAGGATGTGTACAGACTCCTCAGGTTGCTCTGAAGTTGAAATTGTATCTTTGCATAAGATCCAGGCCTCACTTCTGGCCTGAGCAGCAGGTTCCATAGCAGTCATCCTAAACAACTGTAATCCGACACGCCCTTTGTGTCATCCCAAGTACTTTTCCACACTCTCAGTGCAGGTCCCTGAGTCCCTCACAGCCACCCACAGTTCTATCCTCTCCATCCATCCTCCCTGGCCTCTGCCTTTATATACTCTCTGGCCACTCCACTGATTTCCTCAGGAAATGACACTTTTTCCTCTGGGTCCATTAGTGACTCAAGGTCAGACCTGGATATCTGGGATCTTCACCACTCTCTTTGTCAGCTTCTATTTTTGGGCTGCAGCCCTTGGTTCCTGGCAATCCTTTCTCTGAATCCTGAAACACCAAAAGAACTTGTCTGCCAGCCAGGTTTCATCTTTCCCCCATGGAGCTCTACAAATGGCTTAATGGTAGCAAAAGGGTCATAAATTCTGCCAGAGTTGTCTCTGCAGTTTCTTCCAGAGATTCCTCTATAGTTTGCTTTTACAACATGCCCCACTCTCCTTGTATCATCAGTCTAACACCTCTCTGCCTTGCACCCCAGTAAGGTAAGGGTACCTTCAAAGATATAAAAGTACCCCGAACCATCAGCCTTCTTAATTCCCCTCCACACCCTAAATATAATGGACAGCAATGAGTTTCCATTATGTTGGGGGTAGCAAGTGTTGGGGGTAGCAACTATGCATAGGTGAGATAGCACACACAATCAACATACGTAAAGCCCTTTCTTCTGGGGAAACTCTTCTAAGACAAAGATTTCATCCCTAGGAGATCAACTCAAGGGCAGAATTTTATCAAAGAACATATTTCTCCTTTCTTTAGTACATATCCGTTTAAACAATCATCTTTGGGGGGGGTCAAACCCAGTGATGCACAGAGGTTACTCCTGGCTCTGCACTCAGGGATTACTCCTGACTGTGCTCGGGAAACTATATGGGATGCTGGAAATAGAACCCGGGTCAGTCGCGTGCAAGGCAAATGCCCTATCCACCAGACATGTGCTATCACTCTAGCCCCTTTAACAATCATCTTAAATTTACTTCTTAATAGTTTTTCTAGTCATCTTTTATGGACACATCAAGCGATTATTTAACCTAATAGGGTGGATCTCCTGGGGACATCTCAATATATATTCCAGACTACAGTCCTCAGGCCAGATTAAATCTCCCTAATCTCTGAAAGGTCCTCATGCAGTCACTTCTCCTTGGGTCATGACAGAATTTGTCCATGACCATGCTCTTAACTTATAAGTTTTATGGCACTTGGCCTGTCCCTTTCTGATGCCAGGGTAGTTCACAGCTTGCCCTGGGTTCATCAAAGTCCCTTCTTTGGGACCCTCCTTATGGGTTGTTAGGAACTAAGGGAAATTTAGGCTTCTGTGGAGTGAATCTGACAGATGCTCGGGAGTAAACATTTTTTTTTCAAATTTAACTTTTATTTATTTATTTAAAAAATTTTTATTAGTGAAACACCATGCGGTACAGTTGTAGACTTACAAATTTTTGTGCTTGGGTTTTGGTTATACAATAATCAAGTACCCATCCCTCCACCAGTGCCCATTCTCCACCACCACTGATCCCAGTATCCCTCCCACCCCCATCCCCTCCATCCCCCCTGCCTCTGTGGCAGGGCATTCCCTTTTGTTTTCTCTCTCGTCTTTTGAGTTCTGTGGTTTTCAAAAGAGGAATTGAGTGGCAATCATATTCGTTCGGTCTATAGTCTACATTCAGCATCCATCTCCCATCCTGGGAGGATCCTCCCAACACTCTTTATTTGGTGTTCCCTGCTCTATCTGAGCTGCCTTTTCCCCTAGAGTGTGCGGCTGGCCTCCAAGCCATGGAGTAAACCTCCTGGTACTTATCTCGTCTATTCTTGGGTGTTAGTCTCCTATTTTGTTACTTTATGTTACCCAGATGAATGCAATCTTTCTAGGTCTGTCCTCTCTTTCTGGCTCATTTCTCTTAGCATGATACTTTCCATGTAGTACCACTTGTATGTAAATTTCATGACTTCATCTTTTCTAACAGCTGCATAGTAGGGAGTAAACATTATTTGGAGCCAATTAACTCTCACATAACAAGAGCATAGAGTCAATTGTCTTCCCGTGTCCACACAAAAAGGACATTACTCTAAAGTAGGGCTGGAGCGATAGCACAGTGGGTAGAGCATTTGCCTTGTACTTGGCTGACCCAGGTTCGATTCCTCTGTCCCTCTCGGAGATCCCGGCAAGCTACTGAGAGTATTCTGCCTGCACAGCAGAGCCTGACAAGCTTCCTGTGGTGTATTCGATATGCCAAAAACAGTAACAAGTTTCACAATGAAGACATTACTGGTGCCCACTCAAGCAAATCAATGAACAATGGGACAGTGCTACAGTGATACTCTAAAGTAAACTGCAAAGGACATAAAGGAAAGAAGAAAAACAATACAAAATACACTTACAAAAGCACTTACAAATACAAAATCCAGAGATCCATGAAGAATTTGACTTTACAAGTCACAGGTTCTGATTAGGGGAAATGAACAATTAACAGATAGGGGAAGCAGAGCACAAAGAAGTTAAAGATGAATGGGAGTGCTTTAGAGCATTGTGCTGGGTGTTATTCAGTAACCCCAAGTTCCTAGTGGAGGAGAGGAAAGGATCCTACAAATCCTCAACAAAGGAAAATCAGACTGAGTTTTCCATTACCAGAATTTGATTTGGAATATTCTTTTACCCCTAATCTATTAGGTTGTCTTACTACTACTCCAAGTAGAGGAGTAAAAGACTTTGAAAAAGGATTTGGGAGGAAAGCAAAAGCATGAAGTCATTCAATCCCCTCTATCAGTCATAACTTGAGAATTACTGAACTCCCTCCACTGTCCAATTTTAGAGACTAAGCTTTTGTCAGAATATGCTGAGAGAACCATCAACCCAATCAAACCCTCTCATTTATTTTCTGTGAAAGTTACTACAGCACATAAATGTCTTTATCCAAGGTCACCCAGTTAATTATTGGCATAGCAACTCCCCTCCCAAGAAATCATAATGATTTCTCACATCACATGTCAGGGATGCAGGTGAGGGATACAAAGAAAGGTTCCTGTGTGTGGCATGAGCCTGAGCTAAGTTATATCTGGTCACGATCCAAATCCACCACAGACTAAAAGCTTTCTAATCTACCTTGATGCAGAATAGAAGCAGGGAACCAATTTCAGACGTTGTTTCTTTGATTTAAAGGTATATCCCTCTCACTGCAGGCACACAAACATAGTCCTGCATGAACACTGTTGTCTCTGGGCACTGCAGGTCTGGGGTCCAGGTGTGATGTTCTTGGAGCTACCCAGTCCTAAAGGGAGGGCCTGCACTAGCTTCACACCTCCCTCCTCCCAGCCAGAAATGGTTAATTGCCAGCTCTAGGCTTCCTCCAGCCCAGCCGTAATCAGCCTGATCTCAGGAAGCAGCAGCTCCAGGCTGGCCTGAGTTGCAGAGCAGCAGGGGCATTCTTCCAAGGTAATGATTAAGCTGAATGCCCCACAAGGGCACAGGCAGCTGAACAGGGAAGGTGAGCCCCATTCATACCTTGACTAGGCTGTGGTGGCCAGGACTGGTTTGAGAAATCAGAGCCGCAGGGAACAGGGACGAGGAACTGGCAGCCACAGCTTTCTGCTACACACGGGCATCTGGGAGCGTCTGGAGCTGGAGCCTCTGCTGCCTCCTGGGACCCAGCCCTGGCTCTCGGCACTATGAAGCTGCAGGTGTTCTGGACTGGACTGGAGTATACCTGCCGGCTCCTGGGCATTGGCACTGCTGCAGGTAAGACCGCGCCTCCACAGCAGTCTCCTGCCCATTAGACACAACATACAGATGTGTCTGGTGTGTTGGGATAGCAGACCAGGGCTGGCAGACAAATTTGGCCACATCTATTTTCCACGTCCCTTCTCAAGGCTCTGACGTGCGCTCGCAGTGAAGCTGTATAATGTAGTGGGGTGAGCCTAGGGTTGGGAGCCAGCATGCCTGGTGCTAGTCTCAGCTTTGGCACCCGCCCATCCATGTGATGGGGGAGGGCATGAGCATCCCATTTGTGAAATGAGTCAAGAGGATCTGCCTCACTTCCTGAGGGCTTTGAGGTGGGGAAGGGGACTAAAGGTGAAGGCGTTAAGGGCTGCACAAATGTGTGAATCAGATGTCTCCTTGCATAGTTGCAGAAAGGTCAATGGAGCTCTTCTTGTTTTACTCAAGCCACATTCCTGTTGCAGAGAGAATTCTCAGTACGTGGAGCAGGCTGAGCTGCAGGCAGGGCTGGATTTAGATTGGGGATTTCCTTAAGGCACCAGAGGCTTGAGAGACTAAAGGTCTTCCCCTGGCTGGCCTCTCTCCCTCACCCATCCTGTTCACAGGTCAGAATAAATTGCTGAGAAGATAGACGGATAGATATTCAGAGGAGAGTGGGCATGTTGAGTTCATCTTCTCACCTTCCCAACCCAGATTCCAATCCTTCTCCCTGAGGCCCTGAAATGACTAAGGTCTGTGTGAGAGAAGCAAGCAGACAGCACTCATCTCAAGCTCTTAGCGCTGGGCTCCACTGTCCTTGAAGACAAGGAAGAGACATCCTGCATTGCTAAAGTCTTTCCTATCACCAGATAAAATCTCACCTGTGGGTCTCGACAAATGGGAAATGTCCCCAGCTGGGACTCAGATAGTGCTGGTAGGAACCTGCTCCAGTCTTGGCACTTGCCAAATTTGGGAGAGCCCCATAGCCCCTGAGTGGCTGTACTTTCTAGTCTGTATGGTGGAGATAACCAGTTGTGCTGGTCAGGTGCTCTGGAGGGCCAAGGATGCTTAAATTGGACATGGCTCCAATCTTCGGGGAAACTGGAGATATAGATTTTTTTAAGACAAATCCCCTTTCATAATTTAGAGTTTGGGGGACTTTGTCAACCTCAGGGTGCCAGTCAGAGTCACTAATAGACTGGTCAGTAGAGTCTTCTCTCATCTAGACCTTGAATTAGCACAGAAGGATGTTGGAAAAGCTCTAATCTCATCCTGTTTTGAGATAGAGTACCTAAACTCAGATTCAAATCAGGACAGTGACCTTGATCAAGGTCACTCGCTGATTAAAGTGATCGCCAACCTGGAGCACTGGCCATTCAACTTTAGAATGGGGCAGAGTTCTAATCAACGATCTCCCTGCCCCCAGCTCCCTGCCCAACAGGTATCAAGAGAGGTCTGGAATTGCTCTGCTTAGGGCCCTGAATAAAAGCTGATATAGGAACCAGCTCCAGCTTGTCAGAACCACCTTGTCACCCATAAAACCAAGCACCTCAAACTTCCCATCCTGGACAAGGGGTGATAACACCAAACAGGGCTTCTGTGTCAGGGGTTCAAAGGCAGGTATTCCATTGCTGATCTTGATCCTGTCCTACTCTTGTACTTGGTTTCCAAATATAGAAAACAGAGCCCTTTCAGATATCAGAATCATGGTGATGATTCTGACTACCACACTCTACCCAGAGCTGCAATTCCAGATAGGAACCTGTTTTAAACTGTATCTTATCTCTCTAAAAAGGTTCACTAAGGACAGTCTAAAAGTCTGATTTATCTCAGCTAGTCGAAGGGTCTGCAGATACATACGTGCACACTTGCGCATACACACAGAAATTCACACACACACACACACATACACACACACACACACACACACACACATATATATGAGCTGGAGCGATAGCGCAACTGGTAGGGCATTTGCCTTGCATGCAGCCAACCTGGCCGACCTGAGTTCGATTCCTCTGCTCCTCTCGGAGAGCCCAGCAAACTACCAAGAGTATCTCGCCCACATGGCAAAGCCTGGCAAGCTACTCGTGACGTATTCGATATGCCAAACACAGTAACAACAAGTCTCATGATGGAGACGTTACTGAACCTGCTCAAGCAAATCGATGAACTACGGGAGGGCAGTGCTACCAGTGCTATCAATGCATATATATATATATATATATATATATATATATATATATACACACACACACATATATATATATCATATGCATGCACTTACACACTGCTCCCTTAACCCTTATCTCAGTGAAAAGCGTTCTTGCTAATACTGAGGATGGACCACCCATTTGGTTTTGTTAGAATTTAGGCTGAAAAAGGCAGCAAGCTGCCTTACAATCACCAGTTTTTCCAGTAATCTTGTTTGGGCTTTTCGGAGTGCTGGGAGCAAGAGGGAAGCAAGAGAAAGGGCTTTAGTACTTGGAGAAAATCTCAAATTTCTACCAACATCACTAAAGTCCTGGCCTGTTTCCAGTGTGTACGATTTGCACATTCCTTATTCCTTTAAGCCTCTTCCCTACACCCGACCCCCCTCCCCAAATCTGTTTTCAGAAATTCAGGTTTCATTTTACAGGAACCTTGCTGTTGGTAAGGACAAAGACTTGAGACAAAGGCTGTCAATTTGCAGAAACCCCCAGAGACCTAAGGTGGTTCTTGTCCCCTATAGGAAAGAATATGTCTTCTCCAAATTCCAGAAAAAGTGTGTGACTCAGGGTGACTCTAAGTGTCACCTGTAAGGACCTGGCAGACCCTGATCCAGAAGTCTTTGCAACTAGAACCCCTTTCCTTAGACGGAGATGCAGTTTGATTTTCAGGGACTGCAAAGACACTAGCCCCAGGGGACAGCACCAGACAGTAAGTGACTTTTGATACAACATGCAGCGGCTGTTCGCTTTGCTCACTAAGTAAATTTCTGGATGAGCCCTGCCAGGCCAGCAAACAGCTCTTGACATGTGCTGGTTCTCCGTGAAATCAGGCTGTGCCCCCAGTTTGGGGTCCTATTGGTTCAGTGGGAGAAATCCTGACAGGACAAAGCCTATACTGGTTTAGCCCCGGTGCAGCTGTTCTCTTTATTCATTTTTAACATCAGTTTTCATTTCCCAGCATCTGCTTTTTTGACGCAGATTTTAACCCACTAAAATATTCTCTGAGTTCCTTTTACAGATAGAGAAGTTAAGACTGAGAGAAAGGAAAGAATATTCCAGATCACATAGTGGCTCTCTCTGTTCCACTACCTGCACTGTCTCTACCCTGACAGACCATTCATGGACTAAAAGTGTGTATGGGAGGAACCTAGGAACCCCATGAGGTAGAAAACACTTCCATCTGGGTGCAGTCTGCCATGGTCTGTTTATTCTTTTTTGATGGCAATAATTGAGTCTGTGCCGCAATACCATTTGTGGTGTGAGGCTGGGCAGGAGGGTAGAACAGCAATGAGTGGTGGGAACACTAAATGGAACATTAACAAATCCTTACGCAAAGGGTGTTGAGAGAGGAAAATGTGAGATCAACCAACCGTCTTGGGCATGCCAGTTTCCAAATCATCTAGATCTTCTCCTTGTTTGTTTGTCTTCACTCTCATTTGCAATACCTTCTTGATGTACTTCAAGATGACTGTGTATCTGTGTGTCTGTGTGTGTGTGTGTGTGTGTGAGAGAGAGAGAGAGAGAGAGACTTCGTTGTGTTTCAATGTTTGATATGTATCCCCTGGAGTCACCAAATAAAGGCAAACACAGTTGAAACTGCACTTGGTGTGTGAGCGTAGCACACCACTCAATGTAAACTACCATTCTTCCCTCAGTCCAGTTCACAACTGAAGACAGGATCCCCAAATCTGATTTAGAGACTCAAGTTCCAAGGAAGCTTCAACCCTGTAATTTGGCACTTTAAATGCTATCAGGAGAGGACATAGTAAACTGGGTTTTAACTCACAGAGCAACATAGAGGTCCAGATGTCCCTCCTCTACAAAGTGGAAAAGACTATGTTTGATGGATTGGTCCATATCCCTCTTGTTAGAAGGCAAGACTGACTTTTCCATTGAACTTCTGCAACTATATTTATGTGTAAAAGTGAATCCTCACTATTTCCTCCCCTACTCTTCAATCACTACCCCAAGCCTACAGGGAAGAAATGTCGGGGTTGATAGGCCCCCTGTATTCTGATGGTCATGTGGAAAGAAGAAGGCAGATGTGTTTCCCTGGACCATGACCACTGACAGGAATGCTTGATCTTCCCATTGCCAGGAGCCTCCCATAAAGGGAGGGAAAATACTGGGAAAATTTAAATACCGGGAAAATGTATCCAGATACTTTGGGGAAGCTTCCCAAACTTCCTCAGTGTAAAGGGGCTACATCATAAGGCTTCTCACTGCAACCCTCGAAGACATTTTCCACTTTCTCATCCTCTGCCCTAGTGTAATATCTGATAATTAATAGTGCTGTGAATTTACTCTGAACCCAGCACTGTGCCACATACTATAAATATAACACCCATTTAGATACCTTTAGAGCACCATCATGGTCATCCTCATCCCCACCATATGACAAAGTATCTGAGGCTTGGTGAGGTACCTTCCTCAAGGAAGCAAAGAGGAGAGATTCTAACTGATGACAAGCTTCTCCTGAAACCCTACTTTAATTAATGTGTCCTCAATTCAGATCAGGCAAAGGCACATGTCTTTCTGTGTCTCAACAATGCCAGAGCACACCAAGAGGGTTGATTTGAGTTATCCCTTCAGCGTATATCATGTCACTACCATCAATCATAATTGACCAGGCACAGATACGGTAGGTGGCGTCATGGTGAGATGCATCCAATTAACTGAAGCTCAAGCAAGAATAACGAATAGTCTCCTAAATGTGAACACATTTATTTGATCCAACTACTCATTTTCTTTCTCTGAATGGTCATTACACATGATCATCATACATGTTATATATACCATTATGACCATCTCTAGTCAACGCCACTCCTGGAT